ATTGGTTAGAATTTTAAAATTTTATTTAAATGCTTTTTTTTTTTTTTTTTTATGTTTTGAGTATCTTTAGAATTTTCACTGAAAATGTTAAACCATTCTTCAATTCTCGTTATTTTTAAAATGTATTTTTCTTTATCTTATTTTTAGTGACACATTTTTTAATAAAATATTATTATACATAATGCCAAATTTTTTATTTATTTTAAACCAACATTCTCCATTAAAATATTAATCCAAAATGCATTTTAGACAAAGAAATGGCTCAAACAGGCTCTAAAAATGTTAAGAATGAGTTTTATGTTATATGTTTATCCTTATTTTCGAAAATGCATTTTTAAAAATATCGGACAAAACGTGTTTTTAGTGTTTTGCAAAGCTGAAAATAAATTACAGCAAACCAAACGTATCATAATGTTTTGAATAGTGATTTTTTGCTAAAATGTAGGGGAAATTTTTGGAATTTATGCACAAAATAATTTATTATGTAAAATGTGTAGTTGAAAATAAATATGTAGAAAAAACAATTTGCAAATAATGATATATAACATTATTGAACTTGTGTGTTGTGATCGAGTATGACCTTAATGGACGAGTTGTAGAATATTTTTCATTACTTACATAGGTTGTCATGGAGTACTTAGTATATGTATCTTTGTGTACTATATGCACTGCACACACTATGATATTGTATGTGAGACTTAATCACGTATGTAAGATTTGGAATGACAGGCACTTGTTAGTAAAGTGACTTTGAACATGAATTGACCAAATTTATTAGACCTAAACTCAAGTATATCCCCTCTAATAAAATGCTCAATATCTTATGTTCTTCTTTAGAGCATAATTGACTCAAGCAATTAAATCTACGGGGTTTCTTAATACGTGGTGCCTATGGTCAATTGACTTGGGTTAATCGGTCTAAATCTCGCCACATGGATCATCTTAGTTGCTTAATGGAGAAGATCCTGCATATATAATGTAAAAAAATGATGAGCTTTAAAAATATTGAAAAATGTGAAAAAAAATGTATACTCAAAGTTAGGGGGAGAAAAGAAAAAAGATCAAAATAGACATGCAAAAAGAGCTTAATTTAAAGGTCATAATATACTTTAAATGGTTTGACTTCCATCCATAGGAGAATAGACTTATTCGCAGTGATGTTAGCATGTCATTTTTCACAAAATTAAGATTTGGAGTCTTATTTACCAAGGATTAGCGACACATTACACACATGGGTCACTTATACAGTTAAGTTTACTGATCGTTAATTATCCATGTGCATGCTATCAAATGCATTTTTTAGTTGTTGTATATGTATGTTCGTCCCTTCGTCATTTGTGACAAAAAATGAGAGAGAATATACACAAAGGGAGAAACTTTGCAATTGAATTTGCATTTTATGTGTAAGGGTCGTGAAGGAGACACAGAGATACATTTTGATGCTGCATAAAAATGTTGAGAGTTTGCAGTGAAGGGGAGAATTGACATTGTACTCCATATCATAATGCTGAGTTGTTTGAGTTTTGATATTTTGTGATGTTAATTTTTTTAGTATTTTGATTTACATCAATGTCACTTCTCAAACTAGCATGCACTCAAACTAGCATGCATATTTATGATTATGTGCTTCAGTTGTTACATTCCTT